AGTTCTAAGTATACGAAAAACATTTCCTGTGAACAAGAACTGCTAAGAAAAATGATTGTAACTTCGAGAAATTCTGTACAATCAATTTTTGGTTGGTCATTTTTTAAACAAAACTCTTATTTTAAATTTATGACCTGGTTCATCCAGATCTTCAGGTTCTACAGTGAAACATTCAAAAGCAGAATTTTTTTACTTATTGTCAAATGATGTTGACTGATATTGTATTGACTCTGTAATGCAAGAAAGGGATTTATCACAAATTAGATAAAAACAGACAAACAGATAAAATTAAAAGTTACCCTCTCTTTTCATCAGTGCTTCGAATTGCTGTTTTCATAGCTTCTCTGCTTCTTCACGGATCGCTTTTCTCGCTTCCTTTTCCACCAAACTTCTATTGGCTTCAATCATTGATCCTGATCTCCTCTTTTCTCTCTGACTTAAGAGAAAGAGTTTGTCTTCCACAATATTAATCATTGTTAATACAACGTTGTGAGTTATATTGAAAAGATTTAAAGAATTGAGAAATTTCTCTTCTCTTTTTCTTTGAAAATCGCTTTTGCGTTTTTAAGACTGCTGCAACGTTCGCTAATTTTTATATAGTGCTAACAGCTTGATAATGCTGTTCTAATTTTGTTTTGTAGGAGTACATGCTTTCCTCTAGAAAATTTCCACTTCTTATATCTCCGTTGCTGGGAAGTTTTGTTCCGATAATTTTATGTTCACCATGCTCCAATAAATATACTAAGTAAGCTTTTAGTCTCCATTTTTATACAAAATCACTTTCACTTTGAATGATACACTGCAAAGTGTGTATCTTGAAACCTAATGATAACTAAAGAGATGCTTTACTACTGCCACAATTAAATTGTTGGTCACTAATAATTAGCTTTAAGAGAGTCCTTTCAAAAATATATACCACTGTGAATAAGACTATTTTTCATATCTTAGGTCTCAAATAGTAATTGACTCATGCAGCAGCATGATTCAGATGTTACGTGGTAAATGTAATGCTAACCGAAATTGAAAGATTTTAAATACATCATTGGAAATACTATACAAATACTACTACTACATAAGTAAGAAATTGTATTTTTATTACAAAAAAGTTGTCTAAAATAATGGAATGTAATTTTGTTTGACACTGATATAAAATCATTATAACTTTAAAGTTAACATAAATGCCATTGTCTGATCAAGCTGAAATTTTGCACACGTTATTTTCTCACCAAATGTCATGATTTGGATGGATAAGACAAAAAAATTGGAAGTTGAAAAATAAGAACCACCCTAGTGCATACGATCAAGACATGATCATTTTGTGTAATCTCTTCAAATTACTTTATTTAGTATAAATAACTGTAATACATAGGTGCAAGTAAATCATTATGTATCTTCATAATTTAAGTATCTGCGATTCATGCTACTTTCCTTGCATAATATACCTTTTGATATACCTTGATAATATATCTTTCATAATTACGCCTATGGTGTATATAACATTTTTTGTTCAGAATGACCACTTGAACATGTGGCAGTGTTTGTTTGTTTTGATCTGAGATATACTACACTGAGATAATATACTATACAACATATATATACATAAAATTTTGTATTTGAAATCCCTTTGCTATATGTTATTATAAATTTATGTATATATTTTCATTATTCTTAGATACTCGTAGCATATATTTGGATAAATATATAATCGATTTATATAATTAAAGATACAAAGTAATGAGAAAATAATAGACACATTAAAGCTAAACACTTTACACTACTCAAAAATATATTACATTAGATATAACAAAAATTACAGAAATGAAGATAATATAAATAGGGTATCTCAAAGAACATTTCAATTAAAAAACATGTAAAGTCTACTATGAAATATAGAATGTTCTAT